ATCTTTTTCTTGAAATTTTTCTTTGCTGGTAGTTCATTGAGTTGGGCTGTAATTATGGTTGAATTATATTTTATCGATCATTTTGTAAATAAAACTATATATTTAGTAGTTTGATTATATTGATTTGATCTTTATCTATAATATACTTAATCTCTTTTTATATCAGAAAAATTCATTGAAATATAATATTTAAGAAATCTATCATGAGAAAATTATTGAATACAAATCTAAAATTAACTTTTGATCAATTGATTATGTTATTTAACTTTTCTTACTACATAAACTACGTAAATATTACAAGTAATTTTTTTTCAGGAAAACTAACTTTTTCATATTCCTTGATTCTCATGCATGCATTTTGTTAAACTCTTAAAATTATGCAGCTTACAAAAATTTCCTGAATTTGTACTAAATAAAGAAATATTGATTAAAAATATGCTATGTAATATTGCGTAATTATCTAATTTGATAATATTGATTAACTACGCTAATTTTAAACAGTTTTTATTTTATAAATTTTCATATAATAATTATCATCCAATATGATTCAATAGATTTTTTTTTATTTTTCTGCAAGAAAATAATTCTCATGGTCTTGAGAATTTTTTATAGCTACTTCTTTTAATTATAAATATTTATCTAAGAATTTCTTCTATTTTCTTTAAAATTTTTCTTTTCTCCCAAAATTATCACAAAATTTTAAACTCATTAGAATATTTTTAACTTCATTAGAGTTTGAGTAAACAAGAAAAAGTCTGCTTCTATTTGTCATAGAGCTTTAGTTCATCAAAGAAAATATTATAGTAAAAGAGTTTCCTAAGGTGAGATAAGTGTACTTAAGAATATGGTCAGACATAACGATTAAGACTATATAGAATGCATCTCTTATGAGTTTATCCTAATAGACTGATATATATGATCTATCTCTTATCTGAGAAATGTGACAGTATGTTTGACCTCATTTAATATGACTACAGCATATTAACACTTTTGCCTTCTTATTTTTACTATATTATAAATTCTCAAAACGTGAATTTTCCTTGCTTAGAACTGGTTATTACAGCCTCTATTATTCTGTATTGATATGTAGCCTTTTGAAACATTGTTGGTTCATTAAGCTAATCTTTATATAAACTAATACTCACTGATCAAAGATGCTTAATTTTACATTTCTAATATATGCCTTTCCTTTATTCAGATTACAGGTTCTCGTCAAGAAGTTTAAGAAACTTATCAAGAAAATTCTATATTAAGAGAACAATTATTGATTTTTTTAAATCAAAATGCTAAACTTTCTGCTAAATATGAATGCTTAAAAAAATGAACTAACTAATATTTCTTCTCTTTTAGTTCGTTAAAAGAATAAAATTTATTCACTTAAAGAAATGTATAGAAAATTTTGCATATTGTTGCATTTTACCATTTTTTTTAAAAATTTTATTAAATATTATTTCAAGAGTTGCCAATTACACTGTTGACACTTTCACTTTTACTTTTATTTTTCATTTGCTAAATAAATAATAATCATTATCTTATTTACTGATATCATATTATTTATTATATTACGTGATCAAAATTTTTCTCAAAATTTTCAAAAATTCAAAAATATTGATATAGTTAACTATAGATACTTGATTAGTCTATTAGCTAACTTTTAATTAATTAATTAAATCTATTTACAAATCTATTTATATAGATCCTTTGACAGACTATCTTACCATCTGAAGTATCCTAAACATAACCTTTCACTTTATTTATAGGCTAAGTGATAAACCTTTTCTAAAAATTCTCGTATGTTTTCATCTATAGGTTTAGTAATAACTATTATAAGGATTTCCTAATTATTAGATTATTCAACAAGTTTAGAAATAGAGATTCTAAGTTCAGTAAATAGATCAGTTGTTTTCTTAGAATATTGAATTGTAGACGATACTAAGACCAAAAATTATCAAAGTTTTTTGGATGTTCAAAATCTTTTTCAATAGGATAACAGATTAAATAAGATATATTAGATATAAGTGTTAAGTTTAAGGGTTCTTCAATGGCAATCAGATGATGTAAACTATTGTGTGCTCAATTTCTATCTACAAAACTCATATACTTTCTTATATTTAAAACCTAACAGAAATCACCACTTTTGTCACTATAGAATTCTTCAATTTGAGTTGATTATATTATCAAGTCTCTACTTGAAATTACTAACTGTAGCTTACTGCAATTAAGACGTTAGGATCTGCCTAACTTTTAATTTTACCAAATCTACACGTTAAACTTAAACAAATCTATCAAGTATGAAGTCTTGAAAGACAAGATTATGAATAGTTTAATTAAAGAATTCAGATAACAAACTCAATTACAAATAATGTGTAAGGATTACGTCAGACTATATGAAGATACGAAGAGGCAGAAAGATATAAGTTTTAAATGATTCTTTTATTAATATTAAAACTCGTATTTACAGGAGAGTTAATTTACAATATGAGCAAAAAGTCTATCTATTTATACAAAATTTCTTTTGTTATGGTTAACTATTTACTATGCTATAAACTAATTAATTTTATAAATAAAATATAAGAAAAATGAAAATACGTAAAATAATAATAATTAGAATATTAAAAATAAGTGTAATACTAAATGTTTTTAGACTTCGTTTAATTCGTAAAATTAAGATTATTCTCAGTATTTAGAAGATCTGCAGAATTACGTAGATCTTTCATATTTTCAGAATTCGCAAAATTCTCAGTATTTTCAGAATTCTGAATTAAGAGATTATTATACTACATCATTCACGTAACTTCATTATGATTGGTCAATTGCTTCGTTGACAATATAAATTGCCTTTTAAAAATTAATTAACTTAGTATTGTGCATGTTATGATTTTCTTTTCACTCAGTAATTCTTATATTATAATTATAAACAAATAATTATTTAATACGTTCTTTATAAATTTCAATTAGTTTAAATAATCTATAAAAGACTCTTTTCATTTTTAATAAGTAATATATAAATTTTTTATATGTTACAAATTAAGTTAAAAAATTATATTATTAAAATTAATTCCTTTTAGATTTTAAATTATGATCTATATTAGCAACAAGTTTATTAAAAAATCCTTGCAGTTTTAGTTTTTCTTTTCTAATATTTTGTAAATTCATTAGAATTATAAATTAGAATTTCTTTATCTTTATATTACTTTTATATAAAATACAAGATATTAAATAAATTTTTTCCTTAAGAAATATAAAAGTTAAAAATAAAAAAAATAATATTTAAATATAAAATATAAATAAAAAATAAAAATAATAAATATTAAAATATTTTATATTATTATATATATTTTTATTAAAAATTAATAAAAAAAAAAATTTATTACATAATTTAATCTGATTAAATTTTTTATAAATTTCATTATATGAAACTTCTAATTTTTTAAATTCTTTGGCTAAATACATGAAATTATTATGAAGAATATATGATTTAATTATAATTATGAATTTAAAAGAAAAGTATAATATAATTAATATAATTATTTTTTTGTAATATATACCTTCTTTAAAATCATTTATCTTATATAATAATATAACTAATTTAAATAAATTGTTAAATTTATTATTTATATGTCTTAAGAAAAAAATTTTCAAAAAAATTTTATTTAATATAATAAAAATACAATAAATTCAAATTATAAATTATAAATATTTATTGAATAAAAAAAATATTAAAAATTATTATTGGAATTTTATTTTGCAAATTATATTTATTAAAAAATAAATTTTCAAATAAAAGAAAATATATTATAAGAGATAATTAAAAATCTTAAAAAAAATATATATACAATTAAAAAAGAAAAAGTATTTATAAATTAAATTTTAATACTATTATAATTTATTAACATTATATTATACTAATTTTAAAAATTTTAATTAAATAATAAATTAATAATTTACTAAATAAAAAACAAAAATTGAGAAGTAGCAAATTGTTAATAACAAGAAAAGAAAATATATCAAATTATCAAAAAAAATATTACAGATGTATTTAGAATACCTAGTATAATATATAAAGCATTTTGAAATTTTACCAAAAGTACTTGTAATAGAAATAATAATTAATGAGAAAAAAAAATGTATATATAATTTTTTATGTAATTGATGATGAGTTATTGTAATCAATATTAGAAGTTGATAAAATTTTGTTTTATGCATTATGCAGAAACCGAAATTGTTCTTTTAGATATAAAAAAAAAGGTATCTTACAAATATCAATTTTGAAAATTTATTCAACAAGTTTGTTTCGTAATTTGTCATTATCTACTTTTATCTATTTATCATGAGAATGTAATTTACTTTTAATGTTTTAATATATTTGCTTATTAAATTATATTTATTTTAATAGCCTGTTATTATGGTCCTAAAGGCGCAGAGATTTTAACAAATTTATTTTTAAACAAATATTTTAACATTTGAAGCAAGTAAACCTCTAAAGCCAATTGATTAATTGCATTTAGTATTATTTCCAAAAGTAATTGTTCAAGATTTTAATGGAAAATTATCATGCTACATTGTATATAACGATCAGACTCTTTTTTTTTTATATCCAATCAATTTCGTCAAAACTTATCGAACACCCTTCGGGGATGTTCAATCATTAATTCAAACCAGTGTCCAAGCCTTACGTGGCTGAACAGCAGCTGACTTAGCACATGTCAATACAAAATAATCCTTTATTATTTACCATTTTTTCATGGACAATTTCTGGGGAATGATGCATTATTTTTTTTTGAGCTAACCATTTTAAAATGTGGATAGGTCATTTTTTTTTTTTGGTTTAGAATAGTTCTACCTAATTAAGTTAATTTTTCCATGGTAAATGAGCGAATCAATAGTGGCTCTATGTATTACGCAATTATGAATAGAAGGAGAAAGTATTTGAATGCCTTATTTACCTACCATTCCTTTCGCTTCAAAATTTTTTTCCTTTCATTAAAAATTTTTTAATTATGGCTACATATAAGCAAAAGCCAAGGATTCAACATCATGTAACGAATCATTCGGAGGAGCTTTCCGGTTCGGAACAGGACTGGGTAATGTTTAATAGTGCACGTGCCTCTAACCAACCTATTGAACGTAGACTAGTTAACAATGTTAGTGACGATGAGGATTGGCACGTCCTTAGCGATAATACGAATCCCGTGGAGGAGAGTATACCCTCCTTAGAAAGCAACTCTGAATTTGCTAGCGGTGGGAGTGACTACGATTCTGAACCTTATTATGTTCTGGACCAAACTGCTCGCTCGATAGAGTTACTTCCAGAAGTTCAAGGCAATTCTCCATCACAAATGCCTTCACATGATGGAACGGGAAAGTTTTTTGATACTAAACTTTCCGATGAATCAAATCACGTTTCAACGACAAGCCTCGCAGATTCCGATTTATTATCGACACATCATGATGGTATGCGTTTGCTTGTTGTCAATGTACGTTTTAGCCAAATCCCCGTCGAAACTGATGAATTGACAATTAATTTTATGACATCCCAAGATAATGAAAGTATTCGACCTATGGGAAGTGTTATTAAAGAAACTTGGATGTCTAAAGTTCGTAATGTTTTTCGAATTGAAGAGGAGGTTGTTTCGGCGATTAATTCTCAAGAACAAGCTCAATCAAATCAGATTTATCATAAATTTGCCGAATCGGCCTCATCTGCAGCCAAATTCGAGCTTGGTGATTTAGGAAATGTAAGGATATTTTGTAAAAGTTATGACGCACTTTTTGACTTTTTTTTTTTTACTAATTTTATATTCATACCGATCCTCATATTTTATTCACAAGACGAATCCTATTAAATCTCTTGCTAATGTTGGTGATGAAAACGCTAATTCTACAACATACACAACAGTTACGACTCAATACATTGATACACTTCAAAATCAAACTTCTCAGGCTAACCATTCGGAAAAACTGCCAGTGACTCGTCATTTTGATTCATCGTCACCTGCGACTTCGACATCTTCCATACATAGATCTAATGATTTTGATGGTTCATTTACGGAAAAACATGCTTCTATTATCACTAGGTTTGGTAAAGGATTGATCGTTCCAAAAGACCCAATTGATATGAATTTTGCACCTACAATCTCTAAAGACATGTTAAACGAAATGATAATGAACGAAAATTCTCACAGGTATATTGATCGTAAATTCGTGTCAATTAAGATTTCTCAATGAGAAAATGCGTTTACTTATTCTTTATTTTATCTAGTGCCGATCATCAAAACCAACAATCGACAACCTCACGGTCGAATAAAAATTCACTTTTATCAACGGTTTGGACAACTTTTCGCCGAATAACCAATAATATCATCATATCGGATGATACAGATCCAGCTCATGGTGAATTGTCTCAGACTACAAAATTCGCTTCATCAAATTATAATAATGGTTTGGCTTCTATAATTACAGGAACAGGAGAGAATCATTACACCTATGATTCATGCCATTTTCCTTTTGGAAATCATTTAGCTTTATCCGATCTTTGCCCTTCCTTACATAATTATACTAGTTCATCATCCACACCTTCTACGCCATCATATAATAAGAGAAGAAATTCCATTACAACTTCAACTAATACTGCAAGAATCTTTCTCACTCCTGTTTCAAGTTCGACGAGTCTAAAAAGTTTTACAAGTCGCGCTGGAAGTGACTGTGGATTGGAAAGTAGAGGTGTTCGAAGGGGCAAAACTATAGAAGCTCCTCTTGTTCTTTAATTTTTATTAAAAATAGAAACATAGTAGATAACTGCATATACACGTTTCTTTGATCATCATATTAACAAATATGAAATATCTTTATTTTATTTTTGACAACCCATATATATATATATGGTTTAATGTTATTTTGTATTATAGATTTAAATAATATTGATTAAATTTTTTACTTTATTATTGAAATTAATTCTTTGAAATTAAAATCTTGAATAGTTAATTTTAATTATATAATAACATTTGAAATACTACTTTCCTAATTGATATAATTAATTTTTTCCAAAAGTTTATATTTATATATAATCAACATCATGAAGTTGCACTTCGAGAGCTTTCTAAATAAGGTCATTGGTTGGAGGAACTTTATAAACCATTAACGAAGATATTACAAAGTTCTTCGCTAAAGGAGATCTGGAACATAAGTTTTTTTAATGAAAACTCGCGTCTGATTTTTTAAAAAAATAATATTTCCTGATCTTTTTTAACGATTTCGTCTTATGATGATAAAAATTATTTCAAAGTAATATGATTCACGTAAAAGATTTAAAAATGTCATTACTATCTTGTATTACGTGTATCTCTCCCTTTCTCAATAAATTACAAAGTATCTCGATGAGATTCACTAATTTATCAATGAATAGAATAGAAAAGATTGGGATTTTTTCTTAGCGAAAGTTTTAAAACCAAGCTCGTGATAAATAAGCGATCTAGATTTTGATAAGTCATTCGCTAATAC